GTTAAAAGTCTCGATTAAGGAAATAATAAATATATATTATGCTAAAAGTCAATTTCGCACTCATATTGCAATTATCAATGTGACATCGATCATCGTTGTCATTGTAGTTTCGCTGTTTCCGTCATCACGTCGTAGGGATCACATTGTGTGGAGTATAAAATATTTTCCCATGATTTTTTAATATGAATGTACTGTACTGTACATAACTAACTTTATTTATACCACCAATCGATGATTTGCTTTTTTAAATGAAAGTTTGTATGTATTGAAAGTCTTTTTTGAATTCTATTTTAATTAAGTTAATCGTATCTTTCAAAATCTGCACAAAAAAAAAAATGAATGTTATTATTACCATTTCTTTAAATTTAAATTTAAATTTCCATTTTTATTTTAGATTTAGATTTTAGATTTTTGAAAAATAATATAAATACGTTGATTTCTTGACTGTAGAAAATTGTTTCTCTTATTTTTTTAAAAAATTAAAAAAAAAAAGAAGGGTTCCCTATTTCTTTAATTTATATTTGAATTTGAATTTCCATTATTTAAGACTTTTTGAATATAAATAAATATAGTTTTATTTTTTTTTTAAAAAAAAAGAAAAAAAAATAAATAAATTAACATGACAAACCAAAAAATATTAATGAACCGATCTAATGTAGGAAGATCGAATCGACAACAAATAGAATCTCAAAACGCATTCATTAATAACATTAAAAACATTCCAAATCGCCAAGAAATAGATAACCCTTTAATAAGTCAATTTTACAATGGATCCTCGTTCATTTAAACCAACATTACCAACATTAAATTCTATTTTATTCTATCATGCATTTTTAAACATTCATAGAATTAATTATTGTTCATACTGCATTACTTTAACTCAAACAAAACTATGTTTGTAATTCCTCCAATTCTGCGCAAAGCATGCATATATATATATTTATATCCTTTTCATTAAATTCCTTAAATAGAATAGTGAAGTTTATATTTGGATTATGTATAAAAAGACTTGTAGTGTATTAAATAAATATCTTATTCTAAACTTCAAATTATTTCATTTATGTGAATGTGAATGTTAAATTACATATCTCGAAACTTTACAATGAATATTGATCGCATTACGTCTCGAATGAGATAGATTGTCTTTTTTGATTGAGTTTAATATTTTATCTTTTTTTTTAATAAATATATATATGTTGTATAAAAGAAAAAAAAGAAGAAAATAAAATCTATCAAAAACTTGAACTAGTACTTAAGGACATACGTATAACGAGATAATCAATCCTTTGCCAGAGAAATTTCGAATGCGCCTTTATGAATCATCGGCAAATTTGTTGTTGACAATTTAATTTTGTACTACATGAGATTTATAAGTTATTGATTTCATAAATTTTATAAAAAAAGACCCATATTCTAATAATTTCGGCATCAATACAATTCGAACTAATCTATAATCGGGTCTGATTATTAAATTATAAGTAATACAAAGTTTGAAATATTGGAACTCTTTTCGCTCATTCTACCCATGATCTTCATGTAAAGCGTAATCTCGATACTTTACTGAAAATATAAAATTTAATATTATTGTGTCTGATTGAAAAGCATCACATTTAGTTCCAACGCATCTTGATCATTAATTATCTTTTTTTCCTGATCTATCATTTTTCTTATTCGGAGCTAGCCTGAGGTTGTACCGAAATAAAACAATAAACTAAATTCTTGAACTACAATTTCTTTAATATGAAATTGTAATCCAAGTCCTTGTTACGGCTAAAATGTAGAAATAATGTCAATAATATAAGATAAGTAAGTAATAATATGTAATAATAAATAAACAAAAGATTGATCGAAATTACAAACTGTCCTTTCGACGAAATCAATTTCGCGGTTACACACAATTGTTTCACTGCATATTTATATGTTAAAAGGTTCATCTTAAAAATTAATTTATTAGAATACTACGTGTCCTTGAGTGTATTAGTTGGCGCCGACAAATCATTCTGATGTTTAAAATTATGGTGATAAAAAATCAAACTTCAACGTGGGAATATACCATATCTTTTCGTTACCATGTGGAAAATTAAAACGATCTATATGATTTTGAACAAATATTTAATTGCTAATAAATACATTAATTCGCTCATCAATATACATTAGATTATTTGAGACATACTGTTAAATGTCGCTTTCTTACCGTATGATGTCGGTTCAGTTAATCTCGCGCCTTTTTAACTTTAATAGATAATTTTGACTCTCGGCTATAATTTATTTAATTAAATTGGGTAAATTACTATTCACATTACAAATTATTAATATCAGGTTTTATTAAAATTTGGTCTCGAATTATAAAAGTTTGGTCCAATCAAATTCCGGATTTAAAACTATAAAAACTTTATAGTTACAAATTTATTATTAATCTACTCATTCCAGGTCTCTCCCCGACAATTCGCGACAAATTGGATCACATACATTATGACAATTCAGGATTATCTAATCAAATAAATTCATTGGTCGGCGTAAGTTTTTTATTGTCCTTGAATCGAGTGTCAGTGAACCCGTATATTAACCATACGTCATTCATGTTACAAAATATGATAATATAAAAATTTTTGCTTTATAGTTAATTCTAGAATTCTCTGGCGTATTTCAGCACTTTTACTTAATAAGGTTAAGGTTACACTAGTGAGATATCGCAAAATGATTGAAATTTCCATAAATATGGAATTTAATGGATTATTAATTCATTCATGTCTGGAAAAGTAAAATTCGTATTTGGATTAGTTTATTTCTCTGGAAACAGCGACATGTTACATAGAAATAAATTCGTTATGAAAACGTAATTATCATTAATTCATGATTATTGCACAGATAATCTCGAAGTCAGGAATTGAGGCATAGAACAAATAATTACTATAATTGGGTTGAATGGATAGAAATGTATAACAATAAAAAAAAAGGTTAGCGTTAGTTACATAAATGGCGATAGAACAAATCTTTCCTTCCTTTAATAGAAAGGAGTGTCCAATAAAACAATTATTATTTTTTTTTTAAACCTAAATCAGGTAATTTATTTTTTGACAATAAATTTCCAAATATCCAACAATGAAATCATAAATCGAACATCGACAAGTCATAAGCTTATGTAAAAAAATAATATAATTAATTTTTTTCAAACGAACCTCTCAGAATATTTTATTTGGTGCCCAAATTTCTAGGGAACTCTTTCATTATTATTTTATGATCTAACGCTGATTTAACGGGACGGATGCCTGTCCGGTTGTTTTGTTATTGCATATCATATCATATTCTATATAAATCGACTTAAGTTCACAAAGACAAAAAAAAAAAAAAAATTAATAAAATAAAATAAAAAAAATGAAGCATTCATGTCAAAACAGATTATCTAACGTTCATAATCCTATAATTAATAACGGCAGAGTACTTGGAACACGATTTTCAAGAAATAATCAAAGAAGAACGCAAGTTCAACGTAGGGAGCAACAAATTAGAAATGTTCCTTTCAATAACCAAGACACTTTGAATCGAATCGCAAATCTTTCTATACAAAGTTCAAATGATCTATTGATAAATGAATTTTTCAATGGAACGTTGTTCATTTGAATAAACTTGTTCACAATCGAAAACTTGGCGAATAAATAATTCTTTGATCGTCTTCCGGCATGCCTAATTTTTTGCTCGTTTAAAACCAATTTATTTAGAGTATAAAAGCATGTTCATATAATACGATTTATTTTTGAAAATTATTACTTAAATTTGTGCTTTACTTTTTTATCAGGTTTAAACTTTTTTTTTTTACTTAAATTAATGCATATATACAGTAGTTAGAAATCGCTACTGCAAAGCTTTGTCTTTTATTAGTTAACATTAGTCTCGTCTTGAACACCCATTTTTATACTAAACAAGTTGTTCCTTTTTTGAATAAAGGTCCTTATTTATTGACCATGGTTACATCCCTATGGACATGTTTATTACAATCATAAAAATCTTTTTTTCTCAATACTTACAAAATTTATTTTATCTTCCTTTATTTATTTATTTATTTATTTTTTTTTTTTGCGTACTCATCAAAATTTGTCACTTATTGATATCCATAGGCAATTACATCTAAATATAAAGGCATCATTTCAATAATATCGTTCATGAAGATAGATTACGAATCTTCATTTTTCCGATTTGCTGAGGTTAAGTTTTATGTATGAAATCGTTCTATTTAGAGTTGAATTTTGTAGTCAGCAGGTAGGTTTTTCGACTAATTAATTGTTTAACTATCAGCTTTTATTCGAAATGATACTTACAACAAAATGTGCGAAAAACAATAAAAAAAAGTTTTAAATTAGGAATTACTAAAAAAATTTTTTTTTTTATATAAATGAATGATAATTATTTTAAAACTTTCTTAGCAAATTTAATATCTAGCGATAGGTTTGTTATATATTAAATATCCAATTAAGCATTTTTGCTTTTGTACTTTTAACAAGTTACGTCACAAAAAGAAAATAATATTCTAAAATATTTTTGTTTTATTTTATTTTAAAACAATTTGGGGTGGGGTGAGTGCTGGGAAAAGGGACCATTTCATATATTTCGAGGATTTGTGTTTCTATATAAAAAATTGGTGCGTACATGGGTACGCAATGCTAATGATCTTTTTAGCCAAATTGAGTCAATCAACGTTAAATACAAATTTTCATTTATAGATTTTTTTTATATTTAAATATTTTAAATATAGTAATATATGTAATTTTAATTCTTACCTTGAATAAAGAATACTTTTATTAGATGAATACAAAAAGTTACTATTTAATATTTGTTTTTTTTTTTTATAAATTTTATTATAAAGTAAAACTTCTGTTTAAATTTGAATGGAAAACTAATGAGAGGAATAATATTAATAGAATTTAATACTTATGTCATGTAAAAAAAAAAATAAAAAAAATTAAAATCTAAGTAAAAATTTTAAAACCTGTAATATCATTAAAATGTGTTATAATACCACTATTTAGAAAATACTTTATTTTTTTTATTTTTTAAAAAAAACGCATTTGTTTATGTTGAAGCTGTATTGGTCGATGATAATCCTGCCTCTAATATAAAGAGTATAGCTTGTGAAATGGTTCCATATTCGGCTATAGTTCAGCATTTAAACTTGAATGTTTTTGGACAACAACAAACCCCGTTGGAATTTACTTGACGATCCCTTATTGATTATTTGGCGCCTAATATAAAATGTTGGGAGTGAAAACCTTATTGATAATGACATGAAGTCAATTCAACCAAATGTAACAGATAATAATCCATCTCCTACTTCTCAGCAAGATAATAACAATTAATTGGTTTAATCTTTATATTTTAAACTTGCTTTTATTTTCAGAATATATTTCCTTTACTTTATTATGGAGGATTGTATTAAAAAATAACTTTCTTTTAAAAAATGAGCAATTCACGGTTTATTTATATTTTTTCCTTTATATATAGTAACAGTAGAGACAACCCAAAATTTTTTTATTGTTATTTTATGTAACCGAACATATCAATAAAGGATTTATGCATTCCTTATCTGTTTTGAAGATGGATGTTCAGCTCCAAATTTTGAAAATCTTTAATTATCAACCTTTTTACAATTAAAGAAGTAAAGTTCATTACATATGATGGATTTATCCAAATATTCGCAAAATCTTCAGTTATAATTAAAAAATTGAATTTTCTACTTTGATAATGTTAAGCAAATTTATCGAGATCGCCATATAATTTTACCCGGAAACTCGATAATTTCGCATGTAAATCGTCAAGGTGCCAGTATGACACAATGTCAGATGCCAGGCTGGCCTAATAATTATTTTTTTTATAAATACAAGCTGGAAATCCTTAAACAACTTAACATTCCACGCTCACCCTTATTATATTTTGCATACATACACTTCAAAATCCTTCCTTTAACCCTCTCTCGATATTTTCGCTTTCGTCGTATTAACATTTTAAATTTCGTATTTGTAACTTCGTTATTCTTTAATTTCCGATTTTCTTATTATTTTATTATTCAATTTTTTGTAATTGCACCGTTTTAATTAATTAGAGTTTATTGTTTGGCATTTATTTAGTTTAATATATTGACATTGTGAAAGTGTAGAGCGCTGACGTTGAGGCAACACTGGTTAATTTGATATTATATTACTTCATTTATACACAATATTTACACAATAAAACCTTCTGCTTACATTACAAATTATTTATAAATACATAAACGAAAGAACTGAATACAAAAACACAGAATTTTTTTAAATATTAAGAAAAGGTGTGTTCCATTATATGAAAATTAAACAATAATTTTAGAACTTTAGAAAGTTCCGTTACACTACACCACACCACAGAAAAAATGATCAAAATTGCCATACTTTAAAAAAAATATTTGTTTATGTATTCAAATATTTTTAGTGGGAAATCTATAAGTTAAGTAATTTAAGTTAAATCGTCGATAGCACAAATATAAATATTGAGAAGAGCTTAAAAAAAAAAAAAAAAAAAAAAAATTTAAAAATTCCTAGGTGATAAAAATATTCAAAATAGATTTTAAACAAAGCAATCACATAAAGCGAATCTCCCATTTTATCATTAAGAATTATTATATTAACTATTTTAAAAATTTTATAAATTAATTACATTGTGCCGAAGATGCTAAATGAGGGTGATTAGGACCCACTTTTATTGATTTATACTAACGTCAAAATTTGCTTGCAAGAAAAGCTATAATATCAAGATATTTTATCAAGAATTGGCAGAATTTAAATTAAATAGAAAAATTTGATGCCAATAGAATTCGAACGTTCCAAAAACTAATCACATGGACTACATTGGTACCTATTTAATTCTTAAAAGAAGGGTGAAAACAAATCAATTCTGATGCAAAACTTGGGATGAAAATGGGAACCACTTATCATTATGATTATTTCATTAAAATTTTTGTTTAAATAAAATCTTTCTCTTATGGTTAAAGTTTTGCTATATAACGGGTCGGTAAGAAGAGAATAAGAACTTAGGGGTGAATAAGGATTGCCCTCGCTCACATTAAGTTGTTTATTGTTTTAAAACCATCCTTTGGGGTATGCTTCTGGAATGAGGGTGGTCTGGAAGGGAACGTGATAACTTAAATGTTTTAAATCAAAACATTCCATGAGGTCACAGCAGAAACATTTTTAAATGGATATAGCCAATTGGTACCAAAATGAAATCAAGTCTATTTCCAAATTCGGCAAATTTTTGCATAAAATATCTTGATATTATGACTTTTCTTGCAAATAAATTTTGTCATACGGCCACATCGATGAAACTGGGTCCCATAATTTACTATTAAACACACGGTTTTGAAATAAAGATTTTGGCAATATCAGCCCATCTTGACACGTCAATTTATAGGACTTATGACATATTTTTATATGATTATTTTAATTAATTCGAGGTTTTGGAAATATGAAAGTTTGAATTTACTACTCGTAAATTCTCCTTTTATAGCTTTTTACAATTTATTGTAATATCATTTTTGCTGAACTGATTTTTAGCCCATCGCTATCTTTGTTCATTATTTCCTTTTTAAATCCTTTAATTTAATTATCGTATATAAATAATGCGCTTAGCAAGAATTGTTTTGATGATTATATAACAGAAAAAAAAATTTGTAACAATTATTGAAAAAAAGTTCACGTAACGTACATAACTGTCATGAATCCGAGACAATGGAACAATGTTATTTTTTTTTTATTTTTTTTGTTTGTATGAAGATCGCTAATAAGGGTCAATGCGTGAACATGTAGCGTATCAACGCCAATGACAAACATAAATATGTACATACGTAAATAAATATAATTAAAATAAAAAAAAAAAAAACTTGAGCTGCTCGCGTCTAGTAAATTTGACTCAACTTGATAAACTAGTAATAAAACAACTGAGATTTAGCGTGAGGGATTTAATTTAATCTTTAACCCTCCCTCTATTTATTTTCGCAAGATATTAATTACCCTTGACCTGACAATTTTTAAATGACTGACCACATTATTATAACTGAAAAATAATGGGGGGAAGGTGTAAAATTTTTATGAAAAAAAAACGCCCATTTTCATGCAAAAATCATCCCACATCTTGCAGCACATCGATAGTTTATTTTGGCTGAATCTTGTACTCAAAAGCTTTGGAAATGATCGACAAACCCATCAAACACGTGACTAAATCTAAATCTAAAACAAAAAAATAATTGTCCAGATTTACATATTTATTTAATTCGCTTGCTCAAGAATATCCATCGACAGATTCAATCGGTATTTTCACATTTTGAGCAAGGTGGAAGTAAAAAAAATGATGTTAAGTGTGGGGTAATAATGAAAATCATTCTAGCATTATATTTTTCAGATTGGCTAGCTCGTACATGTAACTTTGTATTTGATTACAAACCATTTGCTTTTTAAAGAAAATATTTCTTTAATATATACTTCTAAATAAATATATAATTAAATAATCTGCCATGTGAAATAGTTTCACAAGCTTCTTTATAAATATGATCTCAAAGATGTTGTACATGGAGTATTTATTGAAAGTATTGAATAAAATATTCGATAGACAAGGTAAATTTATTTTTCGTTAGTAAAAGAATACAGGTTTTGGTGGTTAGGAAATACTCTCATTATTAGTTGAATTGTATTGATATTGACAAATCGTTGCAGCCTGAATATTGTGTGAAGCAGACTTTAAGGAAGAAAAACTAAATTTCATGTTATTTTGTGGTATAAAAAAAAAAAAAAAATTCTTTCAGTTCATAAGATCGTGAATTTTGTTTAAACTATGTCATATTAAGTCCATTATTACATAAATAAATAAATAAATAATATTTGCGATGTTGCTAATAACCCTAGATATGTAAATGGTTGCCGGATTTATTATCCGGTAATACAACCTTAACCTAGCACAAATAAATATGTGACAAAATATGATTTACATATCGAAAATTCCAAGTTCCCCGAATGAAAAGTGGTGGTGAGGATGACCGAATTTATAAATTTATACGATACCGGAAAATAAATCTTTTTTCTGTATATTCTACACAAATAGCACAATTTCCCAAACTTTATGCGGAAATTGTACGACATAATAATTATGTGTAAAACCTTTCCAAACATAGTATGCGCAAATTATTTAAATCTGTGCGGGCGCACACATGGCCGCACAGTAAAAATAATAGCTGCTGGTAATAACAAACGAATCATCATATAAAAATTCTTATGAGACCTAATTGCGATTAGGGTTGCGGCATAACCCTTAGGTTTTGATGGTCCACCGAAACAATAATGAATCTATTTTTGCCATACTCTTTGCTAAAATGAGTTTTATCTCAAAACTATAATATGCGATAATAATATAAGAAATCAACAAAACTAAACTTTTGATTTATCCAGACCAATTCAAGTTCAGTTTTAAGACTGACTTCTGTCAAAGAAAACGGTCTATTTGGACCGGTCCGACCATACCCTAGAATGGATGCTGATATTTCAATATTTTTATTATTTTTAAAGGCTCTTAGGCAACAAGTTAAATTATTTAAATGATTGAATTATATATGTGCAATGTCCATAAAATCTGAGAGCTTTGCAATAGAAGGGATAAAATTGTCAAAAAAAAAACAAAATTTACTTTGTTAAACATGAATTAAAGGTGTTCGTATCTAATTATCATCAAAAACATTTTTAGTTGGCGGTTTCCATTCCTTTTAGAATATTTAAGATGAAATAAATTTATTTTACTCGATGTCACGTGTTGTGGCGCAATTTGTTAGAATGATTAAAAATTCTATATATTATCTTTTTTATCCCCGGGTTGTAAAAAGAAATTAAAAAAAAAAAGATAATTTAAAAAATACGAAAAAAAATTTTTTTATTAATTCAAAAATAAAAACAAAAATTTGCGAAATATTAAAGTAAGTTAAACTCTATATACTCCATATATTTACTTTTGTTGACCAAATCATCACTAATTTATAACGTCCAACTCATTCCATGATATTAAATCGTATATATGATTTTAATTTACTGTTAAAATTATCCTTATTAGTTTGATAAATTAAATTATTTCGTTATATTTATAAAGTGATCAAAAAATACTTTAAAGAATATCGTAATAACGCCTTTAAGCATTTTAGACTTAAATATTTGTTACTTATTATTAATTAATCATAATTTAGAATAATACTATTTTGCCAAATCGGACCACTAATATTTATCTCATAATTTAGTAGGATCAATTAATTCAGGAAAATGCAAGAGCCTACTTGTATAGACAGCTTGAGGATGGA